GAAGATATAACAACTACAATCCTTTGAAGTTGTTACAACAAGCAAACAGAAAGGACATTGTTGGGTGGGAGGGGGGAGAGGGAGGAGGGAGGGAGGTTTCGGTGATGGGCCATAATAATCAACCACACTGTAGATCGACAAAATAAAAATTTAAAGGAAAAAAAAAAAGAATTAGTGCTTCTAGCAGCAAAATGTTCTATACATCCGGCTTCTATTTAGGATGAGTATCCTTTACCAGGATATAGGGAGAGAGGCAAGCATTAAAAACAATTATTAGACGGCTGGCCCATGGCTCACTTGGGAGAGTGTGTTGCTGATAACACCAAGGGCAAGGGTTCAGATCCCTATATAGAGATGGCCAGTTGGCTCACTTGGGAGAGCATGGTGCTGACAACACTAAATTAAGGATTAAGATCCCCTTACTGGTCATCTTTAAAAAAGAAAAAAACAATTATTAGACAAAATTTCCTTCTAATGTAACATTAAGATGCTTTCGGAACATAAATTCATTCCTTAAATAGTACATGTTTTTGAATACGAACTGTCAGCCAGAGTACTCCTGATTTTAAGAATCATGACTGAATTATGGTTAGGAAAAGGCAAGAAATGAAAATTTCCAGTGGTATATACACTAAAGAAGTTAACATTGGAAAGGGCATTTCAAGCATGAAAAAAGAAGTATGTCCTTTTAGGGAATAGAAATATGACAGCTAATAATTTGTTGTCTTCCAATATTCGTTTTAATACCTGCATATACAGCATTATTCGCAATAATCAAAAGGTGGGAAAAACCTAAATGTCCATCAACAGACAAATGGATAAACAAATGTGGTATATCCATAAAATGGAATATTATTCAGCAATAAAAAGGAATGAAGTACCAGTACATGCCACAACTTGGATGAATCTTGAAAACATTATGCTAATTAAAAGATGCCAGTCACAAAAGTCCACATATTATATATAATTCCATTTATTTGAAAGTCAGAATTGGGAAAGCTATTGAGACAGAAAGTCTTAGGGCTGGTGGGAGGATAGGGGGATAGGAGAGTGGTAGCAAAAGAGTATGGGGTTTCTTTTTGGGGTGATGGAAGTATTCTAAAATTGACTGTGGTTATGTTTGCACAACTCTGTGAATATACTTAAAATCATTGAATTGTATACTTTTAAATGGGTGAATCGTATAGTTTCTGAATTATATCTCAATAAAGCTGTTTTTAAAGAACTGTATATAGTTGCATAAGGTTGAAAAATCAAGTGTTGGCTGTTCTTTGGGAAATAACCAATTAGTAATTATTCTGTCTTTTTGGAGGCAAATGGAAATCAACCAGTAAAATCTTCTAAAGAAAATCGGAAGAGAGGTCACCCTGAATCTGGGAAAACAGTAAGTCTTATGATAATGTATAGGTTGAATAAAATGGCAAGTATCAGAATATAATTACTATACATTAAATTTTAAATGATAAGTTCAATAATATTCCTAGATATACCTCAGAGCTCTGATCTTGTTTAAATATATTTTGTTCAAAAAAGGAGGTGATTTGGGGGCTGGCCAGTTGGCTCGGTTCGTTAGAGTGCTGCCTTATAGCACCATGGTCAAGGGTTCAGATCCCAGTACTGGTCAGCTGCCAGAAAAAAAAAAAAAAAAGAGGTAATTTTGAAATAAGATACATTATGTTGGTTTATTAATTTTTGCCATGTTAATATCTACTGTCTCATTTTATGAACAACTCAAACTAATTAGAGGAATTTATAAAATAAATAAAAATGAGTTTCAGGAAAAATATGAGTAGAATGAGAAAATGACAATACAAGAATATTCAGGCCCTTTTGTTTATATAGAGCTAAAAATTGATCACAAATTTGATCTGAGCTTTCTAGAGACCAAAAGTAAAGTAGAAATAAAATAAGTTATCAAATCCGTGGGTTCCCTAAAAATGTGGCATCTCCTTGTAGTACCTCGGGTAAAAGAATACTTGATTTATAATTGTTTCATTATAAAACCTTATTTTACCAAATTATATGTTTATAATTTCTGAGATACTCATATTTTCCAACTAGAATTTTTAGTATTGAGGTTAAAATTAAACACCTAAAAACTTACAACTATTTATAAAAATCAAAAATATAGTTGGTTAATACTGTTTTCAATTTACGTAACTTGAAAAGGGAATGGAATAACCTGACATTTCATTAAGACATTAGGTTCTTTAATTTTTCAAATGTATTAAGTTTTAATTTTTTTTCCCGTCACAAAATTGTAATGCAATTTGTTATTCCTAGTGAATTTAACTTTTTCAAGCAAAATCAAAGTGCAGTAACTCAGGGAATCTTGTTAGGCATTTTCTAATTCATTCTCCCATTTATTCAAAAATGTGCGTTAGATATCTAACATCCATCAGGCACTACTAAGTACCAGGTGTACAAAATCAAGACGATTTAAATTCTACATGGCGCCAAGGCAGAATGTTTTTTCTATTTGTAGTTCATTTTTAAGTCTTTTTCCCTTCTCATCCCCCCAAAATATTTGTCTTATTTTGAGGATATAATGTTAAATCTATCTTCTAACTACTACAACAACCCTGATGAAGATCTTACATTTTGCTGGCATATACTTTCAGTAGCCATCAGATGTAAATATGTCAATAATAAATTTTATCCTACTTTTAAGAACCCAGGTATCCTATTTTAGTCGGAAATAGGTATGCTAGGTATATTTTTTTAAAAAAAGAAAGAAACCTCAGAGACATGAAAAACTATCTAAAATTAAAGCATTTATTTAAGCTAGAATGTATCTGTTCTTAGTAGTTGTTTTCTTTTGACAGGTCCTCCATCACTTTGATTCTTCTAGTCAAGAGTCAATGCCAAAAAGGAGAAAGTTTAGTGAACCAAAAGAACATATATAAAAATCACTTTTTCTTCTGTACATTTGCAAAGTTCTTTTCAAAAATTTAAACTAAAGGACACTGTATTACTATTTTAAGGTGTGTTTATCCTGCCTCTGAAAATTTATATGTAGTTTTAAGCACTTCATACACTAAAATGAGGTTCTCAGCTGACTATCATATTTGTGGTTCTTAATCTTATCTGAGGAAAATCTAAGAACTTTTGAATAACACCAAAAGTATAAATGTAATAATTGATTCTGTTCATTATCTACTCAGTATTGAAGTCTTCTATTGTGGTGAACACTTCCTTAAATGTATATTAACTTTTAAGGCCCTCTAAAGACATCTTTTTTGAAACAAATAATGTTTATTTTGGTATCAAAATTTGGTAGGTACTCACTTTTTACTTATGTCAAAACTATATCATTTAAGTGGCTGTATTTATCATTGTGTTGTTATTATATTAAAACAATGTTCTTCAATACTGTGACATAGTATATTAACATAAAATATAATGTACAACCTAAAAATTGTGCTTTACCTTTTTTTTTTTTTTTTTTACATTTTTTACTATAGGACAAAAAGATGACTGATTTTTAAAGTCTGGCATTTTTAGCAGCATAAATAAAATATTGTTCAGTATGTAGGCTCTTTCATGGCTTCTACTGGTTTCTTTTTTTTAACCATGGGGCTCTTTCTGGAAATCATGGCTTCTAATTTTTATTTATTTAGAAGAAAATGTTTACATACCAGTTTTGAGATCATTTTGGTAGATATTACTTTACAAGAAATGAGCACACTTCCTAGAACTTTTGAGTGGTAGTATGAAAGATACTGTGCTTTTAATGAGAAACCTGGGACCTGATTCCAGCTTTTCCCGTTTCCTTTGTTTTAGAAAAGGGAGACCTAAAACTCGGTCAGTTTGCCTCTCCTAGTTTAAGCATCTGTATTCCAAAAACATATTATCCATGGGTTTGTCAGTAAAAAGCGCTATAGAGAATGCAGGTATGTATGTATGCGATGGTAGAAACGTACCCATCCTGCTTAATGTAAACCAAATAAACGTCCACAAACTGCCCCAGATCAGTTTTTCTGCAACAGGCAAGTCAGGGACAAGGTGATCATCAGAGACAACCAATTTTAAAATGTTTGTTTATTCGTAGCTTTAGAGGTTCCAACACACCTCACCTAATTGTCCCAGTATATGCTGCTTCAGGAACACACCTGCTACACTGAAATTGACCAACAGAAACCTTTCGAGATTGGCAGCCCATGTTAACTCACTGAACGCTTTGATTGGCTGGTTTAATGGGGGTGGGGAGCGCAACCCTCTTTCCTCTCTTCCACAAAGGTTCCTTCATTGGATTGACCAGCTGTCAGGTTGAACCCAAACCTGCTTCCTTTTGGTGGTGTTTGTCTGGATCGCAATACAGTAGCCGGGGGGAGAGCCTCCCCTCGTAAACTCCGATTGGCTAGACTCAATCTTGATGGTTTCTGATTGGCTCAATAAAGAAACACCAAGGTAGGTTGCCTAGTGATTCTGAGGAAGCTGATGTGTTATTCCTTCTCTGCATCGAAGGATCAGGAAGTTTGTGCTCTCTGCGTGGCTGAGAAGTTTTTCACCTACTAGGACGCGGGTGGGGTGAGGGAAACAGGTGTCCTAAAATAGAGCGCAATCTTCAGCCTGCCTCCAGCCGTGATCCAGGAGTAACATCAGGTAAGCAACAGGAAAATTACATTTCCTAATGTTCCAAAAAAAAAACCTCTAAATTTTTTATTTTATGAGGAAAGGGAGGTTTTTATTTATTTATTTTTGGCCGTTTGTTTTTTCAAATAGGATTTTTAACTAGTAAATGTCCAGAGAAAATTAATTCCTCAAAGAAAATTCCCCTTAATTTTTTTCCCCCGAAGGTTTAAAGTTTCTTGGATTGGGTTAGGAAATAATCCCTGTTCACTGTGCTAGATCGAGTTAGTGCCCTTAAGCACTTATTTCGTGGTTCTCTTCCTTCTTCTCTCTTCCTGCCTCCTATGAAAAATTATATTTCAAATATTCCCTTGAACAAAGAATCTTTTGTAAGTCACTTCGTTTGTATTTCTATTTTAAATGTTAACGTGCGTTTCTGAGTATTCATTTTAATCAGTATATATTTATCGAGCAGTTACAACGTTAAAGACTTTGTGCTAGTTGCTATGGAGAATATACAAACCCAAGAAGACAATATCCCTGCCCTCAAGAAGTTAACAATTGAGAGACAGCCATACCAAAAGAAAGGCTATAAAAAATACTTTAAAGGAAGTAAGTATAAATAAAGTTCTGTGAAAGTACAGCCAAGGGAGAGACCAATTCTAGCAATGGGGCATATGGGTAATGTAGAAGGAGATTCACTTAAGGCTTTACACTGGGATCTTCAATAGGCCTATGAGGAATGGGTAGAATTCAAAGAGGAAGGGAAAAGGGAGAGAACCCCAGCAGGTACAGAGAGAGGAATAGAGTCAGAAAGAAAGTATGGGACATGTTTGACAAAAGGTTTGATAACAGTACATAGGGGAAGTAAAGGGAAATATTGCTATATCCAGTTCTACCTGGATTCAGTCATGGGAGCTGGTAAAAATTCGTGCTATACTTTTGATATTGAAGATATTTTATATAATTGCTGGTTAAAAATATTTGTTGAATATCATCTTTAAAACTGACATCTAGGTTTATATCAAATATGCTAACTTTAACCTTAAGCTTTAGCACAGATGATTTAGTGCAGTTTCTTTTGACTGTAGATTTTTTAAACAACTATAGTGCATGGTATAAAAGGGCATGTGCTTTGATTTTTTTTTTTTTTTTGAGAAAGCATTTTTTAATCTTTTAACATTCTCTTGCCAATACTTTTTGTTGGCAGCTATTTGTGTATTTGCAAGATGCCTAGCTAGAGCTAGAGATGCTAAGTTTACTTACTATGTGGAATTAACTATACTTGACCTTGGTGTTATACAGCTGTGTTCTACACATGATTTTCTGAGTGTTATTCTCTAGACTAATGATCTCCAAAGTGAGTGCATGAAATGAGTCAGGAGATGGGATGGAAATATTAGAACATGTATTTTTATTTAGTTTTTCTTACTCTTTTTTACTTTCTATTTTTGTGTGTGTGTTTTATAATGTAGTACCATTGAACATTTATAGAAATTGTATATAAATTACTAGATGCATTTGGGGGCTGGATGCTCAGAATTTTTTGCTGTTCCATCTTATTTAACTCGGGGATCCATTTTATGAAAGAGGAGGTAGACGTTCACTCCTGGGTTACAGCTTATGCATGATAAATCAGTAGGCTTAAAAGATGATCATTTCTACTGGACTTAGAATTACTGATTTGATCTCTTGTCAGTGCCATCTGTGGAGTCCAAGCTATTGTACTTTGGAAAAGATATTGTATTACCTAATTCTTCCAGTCATTACTCCTGTCTTTCTTACTATATTTAAGTTTATAAATGTATCCTACTTGTATTCATTTTTAGTGTGAATGTATGAATATCTGTATAGGTTTATTTATATAAGCACACATGTGGATATTTTTTCACCACTCCCTCCAGAAACAGGTAAGAATGACCACTTTAACTCACCGGGCCCGTCGCATTGAAATAAGCAAGAACTCTGAAAAGAAGGTGGAAAATGAGGAAGGTAACAACCAAGAGAGGAGTCCTGACAGTGAAGACTCTGGAGACTCTAAGGATATCCGCCTCACCCTTATGGAAGAAGTATTGCTCCTGGGACTAAAAGATAAAGAGGTAAAGCAGTTAGGTTTGCTAGGCTATCTCAAAGACTCTTAAATATGGGAATAGTTTGGAAATAATGTGATGGGATATTTTCATTAATGCTAAATTGGCTTTAGAATTGTGCTCCAACCGTCTGGGATATGGAAGAGTTTGGGAGGGTGAGTGGTACTTGGAAGGTAAAATCCAGAAGTATAATTACTTGAAGTGTAATTTAATTATAAAATTACTCCAGAATGTTAGAGGACACAGGAGAGGATAATGCAAGGGGTCTTCAAAAAAGTTTATGGAAGGATTTGTATTCTTTTAATTCCATTTTTCCATGAACTTTTTGAAGTGCCCTCGTACAGTGTAAAGTTTTGTACTTGTAGTTTCCCAAATCAGGTTGATGGTGAAATAATAACCTCTTACTAAAGTAAGAAAGAGGGGCCCACGTATTGAAATCTTCTTGCGCTTTGGAGAGAGAAAGTCTTTTAAATGAAAACACAAGGAATGTGTGTAATTAGCTGTCTTATAGAAATACCCAATGGGTAGGTTTCTTATAGCAGAAATAATTTTTCCTTTCTCTTCTATAGATCTGCAGAAATTAAATATCAACAATTGATGAGGATTATATTAATTTTAGAAAAATTTTTAAAATGATTTCAGCTTTCCCTTTCTTTCTAAATTTCTCCTTATTATTAGAACATTTATTTTATAGTAGAATTAGTCTTGAGTTAGTAAGTTGTTATATAACCAAATATTTTCCTGGATTTTCTACTAGTAGCATACATTATCCTTCATTTGTAATTTAACTTTTTACTATGTTTTCCCATCACTTTCTTCCCTCATGAGGAAGTATATAGATGTAATATTTTCAACAATCTGTTTCCTTTCCAACAAAGTCTTCAGTAAATACCAAAAAAAAAAAAAAAAGGTATGTTTAGAGACATGCCCATATGTATTGGCCAAGACACAGATCAGAAGATCTTGCCCAGAAGTGTATTTTCCTGTTTTTGCTGAGAAAGCTGATGAGGCAGGTATGTTTAGAGACATGCCCATATGTATTGGCCAAGACGCAGATCAGAAGATCTTGCCCAGAAGTGTATTTTCCTGTTTTTGCTGAGAAAGCTGATGAGGCTCCAGTTTCATAAAAGGCAAATAAATGAAAAAGCAAAACCAGCTCTCCAAAAAAATGTCAGAATAGAGCTGAAGATTAGGTAGTATAAATACTGTCCTGATATGTTTACACAGTGCCTGGGAAACATTCACTGACTATTGAAGAAGAATATATTAGAAAAAGCCATTTGGCTTTTTTAGTTTTGAATAGGAATGATTAATTTCCTGCTAACCCTAGACACTGGAATTTTTGCTTCTGTGTTCTAAAGAAACTGCCTTGTCTTTGTGTGTTTATACATTTTTAATAGTTAATATAAATTTTAGGATATAGAATAAAAATAAAGGAGCTCATTAAGAGCTATGACAATAGTGAGTACTCAACATATTGGTGAGATACTGTACCAAATGGGTGAATAACAATTAACCACCCTTTGACTTGCTCTAATTTTATTTTTCAAGATAGTTGAATTTTTAGCATTCAGTTGGCTCAGGAAGAATAAGAGTTAATAAATCCTTAGGTGTAAATAAATAGGAGAGGTCAAACCTTCTGATTTATTTAAGTACTAGTAGTTACAAAACGCCAGTTACATAACTATCTCTAAAAATATTAAATTGATTTCCATCTCTACTTATTTTCTGCTCATCTTCCAAACTATTACTAGATTTGGAGACACCTATTTATTACTTAGCATTATGCCAAATAGAAAGGTAAATGTAAAATAGTGTAATGTATGGCCCCTGCATTCTAGTTGGGGAGACAAGAGATACATACTTTATAAAAATTAAGTAACCCAAAGGTCTATCAACAGCAGAATGGATAAAAAGGAATCGTTCTTTTATTTAAATGAGTATAAATATGTTTTCTATACAGAATGAAAATGAGCATTGTTACAAAACATGTATGTTTCTCACATAATGTTCGGTGAAGGAAGCCAGACACAAAAAATACATATTGTATGATTCCATTTATATGAAATTCAAAAAACTATAGTGTTTTTTGTTGCATATTTAGGTGGTAAAACTATAAAGGAAAGTAAAGGAGGGATTACTATAGTTGTTAGGATAGTGGTTACTTTTATGGAAGGTATAGGGGAAGGAAAGGGTTGTTAGTGGTTAGAAAGGAGCATGAAGGGATTTCTGGGTACTAACAGTTTTTTGTTTCTGGACTTGCAGAGATTTCATAGATCTTCGCTTTGGGATCATTGAGCTTTCTACTTTTGTGTGCTCTTTTGTATGTGTATTATATTTCATACTACAAAGGATTTTTTCAAGTAAACAAAAAAATTAAAGTGAACAACAATAAAAAACAGCAGATTTTTTCATGTTAAAACAATCAGAGCTGAGGGAGTTAAAGAGGAGAAATCATCGTGGGTTGGAATAATCTGGAAAAGAATAGAAGGAAGTAAAACAAGCCTTAAGAATGCGTAGGATTAACATAAATGTAGAGATGGGAACACATTCTGGATGAGAGAACCTGAGTGACCAAAGGTATCATGAGCTCGATTTGTTTGGTAGGTAATTGAGTAGGCTAGGGTGACTAAAGTATGTGGCATTATTGGGGAATAATGGGATTCAAAATTGGCAAGTTAGATTGAAAACAGATGATGGAAGATTTCAATTTCCAGGCAGAGACTTTTAGACTTTTCTTTTGCTAAAACCTCAGTCTAATAAAAACAGCAAAGCCCACATAATTTTTATGTTCAAATTAAGGACATAATGATTTTTTTACTCTTTGTTCTTTGTGAGAATATGGGGTTTTTTGTTTGTTTGTTTGTTTGTTTTGACTGGTAAGGGGATCGCAACCCTCAGCACAGTGTTGTCAGCACCACGCTCAGCCAACGCTTAGCCAGTGAGTGCACCGGCCATCCCTATATAGGATCCAAACCCGCAGCCTCGGCGCTCCCAGCGCCTCACTCTCCCGAGTGAGCCACGGGGCTGGCCCGTGAGAATATGTTTTAATGTGTATATAATTACTTGTTTTTACATGGTTTGAGTTTCGTGACATGTCAAAAAAATCCTAAATGTTGAAATTTGGATTCCAAACTCCCAAGTTTTGCTGCAGATTTCCATAAGGTCGTCTGGTTAGAACCCAGTACTATAATTTTTTTTCAAATTATATCTGTTTCAAAAAATATATAAAGGGCTGGTCAGTCAGCTCAGTTGGTTAGAGCATGGTGCTGATAACACCAGCCAGCTGCCAAACACACACACACACACACACACACACACACACACTCTTCAAGAATTGTAGGACTAGAAAGGATGACAGTAGGCCATATATTCAAATTGCTAGTGAAATATTGTCATCCTTTTAAGATTATTTTGAATAGCTGCTGCCACAGACTAGTTCTAAAATATTAAGATTCATTGTCTTATGAAAACTATCAGGAAATTTAAATATCGTTTGAAGAACCTACCCTTTCAAGTACATTTAAAATTAGATATTATCTCAGTTAAAAAACACTGACCTCAACGAGAAAATAAAACTTGAGTACCAGCCTGACCAAAATAAAATATTTCCTGTTGAAATCAGGACCCTGTTAGTCATTATTGCCTTTGGTAAGAGTTTTGATATAGATATTATTGACTCATGAACAATGAATGCTTTAATTGAATTGCTAGTATATTTAAAACCTCATTTATTAGAATCCTTATTTAAGTTACCAAAAAAATTAAGTTACCTATAAGAGGAGTGAGCCTAGAATGCTTTTGACTTAAAAAAAATTTTTTTTTCCTTTTTTTTTTGTCTTTTTTTTTTTTTTTTTTTTTTTTTTTTTCCATGACCGGTAATGGGATTGCAACCCTCGGTGTCGCACCCGCACCGTGCTCAACCAGTGAGCGGACCGGTCTCTACATGGGATCTGAACCCTCAGCAGGAGCGCCACAGCGCTCCCAAGCGCCGCACTCTACTGAGTGCGCCACCGGGCCAGCCCTTAAAAAAAATTTTTTAATTGACACGTAATAATTGTACATGTGTATGGAGTACAGAATGATATGTTGATACATGTATACAATGTGTAATGATCAAATCAGGGTAGTTACCGTACACCTTCTCTCAAATATTTATCATTTCTTTGTGTTGGGAATATTCAAAATCCTCTCTTCTAGCTATTTGAAGATATTCAATAAATTATTGTTAATTATTGTCACCAAACAGTACTATAGAACACTAGAACATATTCTTCCTATCAAGCTGTAAGTTTGTATCCATTAATAAACCTTCTCTCTATTACCCCTTCCCCTTCCCCTTCTCAGCCTCTAGTAAACCACAGTTGTTTTTTTTTTTTCCTTTTTGTCTTTTTTCATGACCGGCAATGGATCGCAACCCTCAGTGTCGCGCCCGTACCGGACCAGGACCGGCAACGGGATCGCAACCCTCGGTGTTGCACCCGCACCTCGCTCAGCCAGTGAGCGGCCGGTCTGTATGTGGGATCCGAACCCTCGGCGGGAGGGCTGCTGCGCTCCCAAGCAGCGCACTGTAGCAGTGCGCCACCGGGCCGGCCCATAAACCACAGTTCTATTCTCTTACTTCTATGAGTTCAGCTTTTTTTTAGCTCCCACATATGAGTGAGAACATTTGGTATTTATCTTTCTGTTCCTGACTTATTTCACTTAATGTAATGTCTTCCAGGCTCATCCATGTTGCCAAAAATGACAGGATTCATTCTCTTTTACAGCTGAGTAGTATTCCATTATGTATATATACCACATTTTCTTTACCCATTCATCTGTTGATGGACACTTAGGTTGATTCCATATCTTGGCTATTGTGAATAGTGCTGGAATAAACATGGAGGTGCAAATATACTGATTTATCTTAGGTATACTAATTTTCTTTCCTTTGGATAAATACCCAGTAGTGGGATTTCTGGATCATACAGTAGTTCTGTTTTTAGTTTTTTGAGGAATCTCCATAC